TGCCCGAGTCCGTCTTCCAATCCACTCCTCAACTCCCTCCCGATCTACCCTGATCAGTATCTCTGCCTTAGTATGTTCAGGGTGCGATGTCCCTCAAATGACTTCAGTGGCTCACTAGAAGGACTCGCAGAATGAAAAGGCTGTTACCCTGAGGAGAGCATTTGCTCTGTTTACTCTTTAATTTAATCCACCATTTCATCTTTAAGGATAAAGACTCACATCAGCATAGGAAGAAGGTCCACACGGCAGGTCTAGGGGAGACCAGGTGCGGGCTTTCAGCTGACCTTGCCCAGCAAAGTTACATGGTCAGGGGTGATGTCACTGCATCTGCTAACGCCTGCCAACCAGGGCAGCTCCTATGACTTCATGTTCAGAATCTCCTCTTGAGGTCAGATGAGAATGCGGAGCTTGTGTGAATGACCTTAGCATTTTACCATCTAGCTTGAGTTAAACTGGCATAGGCAGGGGCCTGGCATATAGCCCTTCCCACGGTGCATCTGACTTTAATCAGATTTACACTCAGCTAGGCATAGGTGTAAGATGGTAAATTTCAGTGTTTCAGTAAAGGTTCACTCATAATAAAACACCGTAGGCTTAGATTTTTCACCAAACCGACTTTATTTAGGGTTCTTAAATACATTTACCTCCCTTCCACCACCACCCTTACCTTAGATAAGAGATTAGGAGGGAAAAGGTCTGCAGATGTTTTTTTATCTACTTCCTGCTGATTAGGGTTGATTTGGGGATTACCAAACTCAATCTTCAGGATATCAGCAGTCCAGTCCAAAGGCCGTGTTGGCCTTTGGTGTTCAAGCAGCAACAGGAATCAGCACAAGCCAGGGAAAGCCGCAAGACTCAGTTGGATTGCCCTGAGAAGTTCTCTGGAACGTTTTTTTCTCTACGAAGTCAACTGTCGAAGCACAAAGACCTGTGCAGCAATGTTGATCCAAAAAGTGAAGCCTTACTGTGCGTGGACCTCTATATATCTCCTCTCCTCAAAGTCCACCCATGGGTGTTCTCAGCGGGCAAAAGTCATGCCCCTCGCACGAGAGAGCTCACAGCAAAACAGCACATGCCCCCTCACAAGCCAGCCTCCAGCAAAACATTCCGGGCCCAGCTTGCAGCAAAACATCACATGAGAAAACTGAATCCAGAAACTTCCACTTCAAAATACAGTCTGCTTTATTTCACTGCACCCAAAACCAGTCCTGTCAGGATGGGCGTCCTGTCCCTCATTCCCTGATATGTCCTGGAGTACTTTGAATAGAAACGAACCACAAATGGGGGAGTTAGCAAGAAGTTACTCAGGGAGGAGACACTTATGATGCTGTTTGAAGTCAGGTATACATATGGCTCAATGCAGGAAAGGGTCCTGGATTTCCAGGTGCAACCAAGATCTACCCTATTGCCATTTCTTAGATCCTCGTGACCTTAGACACATGGGTATTTCCTTTGTGTCATCCAGCAGATTTGAGTATATGAGCTACTGTCCCTTTCTTTTAGCCCATCCATCTAATAGCCACTCAATTACCACTTACGAAGATTTGACCGTGGGCTCAGGTCTGGGCTGAGCCATTAGAGGAGATCTAGATTGAGTACCTAGCATTGTCTCAGTGCTTGCCATTCAGGGTGATCCGTCTGTGGTCTACAAGTAAAACTATCCAGAATCAGCTGCTTGCTGTGTTGGTCTGCTTAGACTGCTGTTAATATAACAAAATGCCACAGACTGGGTGGCTTAAGCAAGCAGAAATGCATTGCTTTTCTGGTGCCAGTGTGGCTGGATTCTTCGGAGAGCTCAGATTCCTTGCCTTACAGATGGCTGTCTTCTCATCATGTCTTCACGTGACCAAGAGAGAGGCTGAGACAGCCCTGATCTCATCTTATAATCCCTCAGGAGGACTCTGCTGGCGTGACCTCACCCAAACCTAATTCTCTCCTCAGACTTGAGCCATTCAAATATCATCACTGTCACGCTTAGGACTTCTAGATGTGAATTATAGGAGCCATAATTCAGCTCATAGCATCTGTCATGGGCTAAGCTGGTAAACCCTTCATCTTAATGTCTACAGCGGCTCCCTCCAGGCCCATTGCCCCACGTTCACAGAGGAGGAAAGAGCAGCTTACAGAGGCTCAGGGACCGCTGGAAGCCACACAGCTGGAGCCTGGCCCAGTGGGGTGTGATCCTGGGGCCACTGGCTCTGTCCCCAGGAAACTTCTGCCCACTCTCCTGCTGCCCGAAAGATGCTCCTCTCCCTGACACTCTGGGAGGCACCCAAAGTGGGCAGGCAATGTGGAGATCACCCAGCCCTGGCTCCCAGCAAAGGCCTGGCTTCTGAGACCCCTCCTGGACTAGCAAGGCCCTGGATGAGCCGTCCATCGAATGACCTTTGAGCAGAAAAAGGTTGTATCTGGAGAGATTTAGCAGAGAAGGAAAACAAACAAACAAAACAATAACAACAAAACAACCACAATTCATCCGCAATCGCTGGAACTGCCAGCCAAGTTTCAAAAATGGCTTCAAAAAGAAAAGCCATCAATGTTTGATGCTCTCACTCTCCAGCATGGACAACTCAGCACCCACCTGCCCCCCGCAGAGGGAAATGCAGAAAAGAGTTGCTACATATCTGGCCTAGCCAAGGCCTGGCCTCCTTGAGGGCTCTATAGTGGCATCCTGGAGGACACTGAAAGTACCCCTGGGCTGTACTCCATCCTAAGACCCCACCCCAAAGGCAGTATGGGAGAGCAAAGAGTGCCCCAGGACCCAAAGGGTGTGTCAGGACATTAAAAATGTATTTATACATATCCACACCAGCCCACAATTATTAAATTAAGGTTGTGTTTTGTTTTTTTTTTCACTAGATATTCTGTCTTCAAACACCAGGCTTGTCTAGTTCCCCAACTGCTGCTTTGCTGCACATCTGACTCACACTGTCTGTGCCTGAGGGCACCCATCGTCCCCTAAGCACGGGATGCCTCAAGGGGCTCAAAGGGCCGCGCAAAGTCTCAGCCCCTCAGAGTTCCCTGTGGAAAGGACCCACTCCATGGAGACGATAGCCACTCTCTGAGCTGAGTGTCGGCAAAACACTGGGCTGTGGATCATCTGTGCTTGATCAGCCTGGTTGAGAACGCAGAGATGAGGTCAGGAAGGAGGAGGAGGAGAAGCAGAGACAGAAAGTCTTGGGAGGTTTGTACCTTGGGGTTGGGCAGAGCTCTTTCATTAAAAGGGCCAGTTCCAACAGAATGACACTAACACAAGGCTGCAGGCAGCCGGTCTCCACTTAACCCCTGTGGCCCATTCTTCAGAGCGTCCCAGCTCCGAAACCAAAGAAGTCACCAGAAGCAGGACTGAGCCATAGCTCTCAAGAGCCCTTCTCCAGTGACCTCCACCAGCCATGCCTCCCACACGAATACCACACCAACCTGCAGGCAGGCCTCCAGGAAGAGGGCCGAGCGGGTAGCAAGGCTCCCTCAGGAGAAACTGCAGTCACTTTTTTGTTGGTGGGGTCAGCACTCTGTGGTTTGGGCAGGCGAACTCCCCTCCACACCCGGTGAGAGAGAGCCTGTCTAAAACGGTCATAAAGCCAAGGCTGCGATTTCAAGGCGCAACGCCCTGCCCAGTTCAGGGGTTCTAGTTCCTGTCGTGTACCAGCCTCATGGATTCACCCCAGAAGGGCCACCTGCTGAGCTGAGGCGGAGGGAGATGGCAGCCCGTCGGGAGCTGGGCTCGGAAACATGAGGCCATCAGCAGGGCCTTCCCAAGGTCCCTGCTCCGTCTGCATCCCACTTGCTTTCTATGGCTCGGCTATGAATCAAGCTCCTCCCACCCCTGTTTGAAAATGAAGTGGCCTGAAGATGAAATGCTTTTGGTAGAGGGCTTGCCTGGCATGCCACGAGGCCCTGGCTTGAGCCGTAACACCACATAAACAGGGCACAGTGGCGCATGCCAGTAACCCCAGCCCTTGGAAGGTGGAGACAGAGGGTCAGAATTTCGAGAACTCCCATGGCTACAAAGGGAGTTTGAGGCCAGCCTGAGCTACGTGAGACACTGTCAAGAAAGAAATACGTGAGAGGGGGAACATAATAGAAAATCTTTGTTTGCTGTCTCTGCAAACAGCACAGAGAAACAGCTTCGGTCCAGTCCGTGGCCTCGTCACTCTCTAGGCCACTCCGTGTGCTGCACAGAGCTGTTCCCCAGATGTCTGAAAGGCACGAGGACTCACCAACTCCACGATTGCGGAGCGGCTCTCTGAGCCCAATCTCGGGGAGAGATGACACTAGAAGAAAGAAGTAACCTCTCAAGTTGGGCTCAGGCCTGGGAAGGAGAGGGACCTTTCCTGTGACTCGGGGAACGAGGTAGGGTGCACCACTAAAGGGCTTGGTTGGGGCGTGGGCCCTGTGGGAGTTCCTTCTGGGGTCCTGCAGGCTCCCGAGTTCCTCGCGTGCACTGGTGTCGGTGGCTGCCTTGGCAGGGTGAGGCGGGAGAGTTGTGTGGCCAGGGACTCTTGGGATCCCCTCCCCTTCCCTGGTAACGCCTTCTGGTCCTGAGCCCCCATGCATCTAGTAAGTCTGTTACCCATGGCTCACACCACACACACACACACACACATGCACCCACGCACCCACCCACTCATGTACGCATGACATCTACTCTGTAGACCCCAGAGAAGCCAGTGCCTAGAGCCTTCTCTCTCTCCCTCACCCTGGAGGGCATTTCTAGCCCCCAAGAGAAAAAGCCCTGAAACCTGAGCAGAAGGCATCTTCAGCGACACGCCTAGAGACAAGCATTAATAGAAGCCTTCCTCAGGCCCATGACACGTCTGAGCAGCTGCTCTAACTGCCCAGCGTCTCTCAGTCCCAAGGCCAGCCCCCTCTGGCTCAGCCAGGCACACTAAACTTAGCTTCCACTCCCAGCTCCATAGAACTGCCACATCTAGCCTACCTACCCCTGGGAGACTCTGCTGCCGCCTCTCGCCCGGCACAACCGCCCCTCAGCCGCCATCATGTCACAGACCAAAACAGTGAAGGTTCGTCTGACCCTCTTCTTCATCCTGGTGGGCGGAGTGCTCGCTATGGTGGCTGTGGTGACTGATCACTGGGCTGTGTTGAGCCCACACCTGGAACACCACAACGAGACGTGCGAGGCAGCCCACTTCGGCCTCTGGAGGATCTGTACCACTCGTGTGGCTGTGCGTGACAAAGAAGACAAGAGTTGTGAACACATCACAACGTCAGGGGGTAAGGTTCGCCATTCTCTCTACCTCTTTCCATTTCTTGTCCTTCCAAGACCACCAAGATAAGTTGCCCGTGGGAACAGAGTTGTCGCCAGCCTTTCCTGCAAGGGAACAAGATGGGAACAGTCTGGGGTAGCATTTATGGCCAGAGCCAACAGGGAAAATGAGGGCATTTGTTTCCAGCTCCATCTTGTAAGGTCTGGGTTCTTCATCCTGTGCAGGTTGCTGGACCAGTGTGAGTTAAGAGACTTCAGCAACTGCTGGCCCATCAGACCAGGAATTTGTGGCCCCAGAAGCACACACTCGGGGATGATACAGTGGCATCTCAGCTCCATTTCCTCCCTGAACAGGCAGGCTGGTGACCCTAAGGTCTCAGCCTGGAGGAAACTGTGGGGCAGGCCAGCTCCTTGTAGGCTCTAGCTCAGCGGTTCCCAGTCTTTGGGTTGCAACCCCTTTGGGGATCAGATATCAGATATCCTGCATATCAGACATTCAGCAAAAGTACAGTTGTGAAGTAGCAATGAAATAATTTTATGGTTGGCGGGTCACCACACGAAGAGCTATAGTAGAGAGTCACAGCATCAGGACCGTTGAGAACCACTGCTCTGAGCAAAAGTACAGGCAAGACTGCCTACTGGCTAGTTTGTCAGGCTGTGTAACCGGGTTTCTGGCTCGTAGGTACTAAGAACTTTGAGTTCGTGGAAGCAGAGCATGAAATCAAGCGTGAGGTCCTTGGAGGTTGGGGCGGGGCGAGGCTGCCACGTGGCTACGGAGCAGAATGTGGTACGGGCGCCTTGTTAGGGCCTGTGGGCCTCCCGTGTATTCTTCCTTAATTTGCTTCGCTCAGGTTCCCAGCGTTTCCTTCTGGGGTGATTAAACGGGAGTCTTCCATTCTCTGCCCACACCTTGCAAGCAAGTTCCTTGCCTAGGAGCTGGGGCATCAGTGTGATGTGTCTCCTTCCTGCCAGTGTAGAGCCCCTGGGATTCAGAGCAAGCGGAGCACGCGTGGTGAAAAAGAACACCTCAGGGAGTAAGCAGTCCAGGCTGTAGCCGCCACTACCCACTGCCCTCTTGAAGGACTTTTTCTTGCTGTCAGACAGAGTCTTCAACTAGCTGGCTGTCTTGTCCGTTTGTGCAATGGATGGGGATGGAACCCAGGGCTTTGTGAATGGTAGGCAAGCAGTCTACCAACTGAGTCACATCCCTTCCCCTAAGAAGGACTAGTGAGAGAGGACAAGGTCCATCTCAGCCTCTGCCTCACCTGTGTGAAACAGTAGGATCACTTCTAGAATTTAAGTGTCCCTAAAGCCTCCATGGACCACAGCATGTGTGGCCTCCATCCTGATGTGGAATGACTCCATTCCCTGCGCCAAGTCCTGAGTCTCAAGGACCCAGCAGTCTGCATGTGGAGTGAGGGGTTCGCCCTCCCTCCTCTTCCTTAGCTCTTGCTTCAGGAAACCCAGGTGACACTCACCACTGCTGGGAATCCAGAGATTGGTAACCACTCAGCTGTCTTGGAAACACAAGAGTCTCAGGGTGAAGGGTATTGATGGGCATGAGCATGTGCTTGGAGGGTATCACATAGCCTGATGGCCACACCCTTGGCCGCTCTACATGCTCGTAAACAGAGGCATCATCTGGCCCACTCCCTGGGCAGGGCAGAGCAGAGTAGGGCATGGCAGCTTCTCCAGGGATCTTGCCTGAGGGGGGACGTTATGGCTCCGTCCACCTGTCCTTAGAGCTGTGTGCCTTTTGAAGTCAGAGCAGATGAGCCGTGTCTACCCAGAGAGAGAGAGAGAAAGGGAGAGAGAGAGGTTGGCGAGAACACCAGCCTCAGGAGACCAACAGGCAAGCTTGGCCTTGAGCCTAAGTAGAGTCTGTTTGCTGTCGTGCCCTCATCAGCTGTGAATCACACTGCCCACACTTGCGACACTGGGCCCAAGCTTCCCAGTTGTCCTCCAAAGCCCGTCCCTGCACTCAAACGGGCATGGTTTTCCTTCCCCACCCACCCTTACCTCTTGCGTGCTCCCTAGGACCTGTCTTTTTGAAAGACAGCTCATACAGTGTTCTCTCATTTGCTAACAACTGTAAGAACGGCACATCCATGTAGGGCTCTGTGCTATCAGGGCTTTGCATACATTAACTTTGGGCAATACCAGGGAAAAAAATGACTAGGGGTGGGAAGAAATAACCCCTCAAGCACAGATTCTTCTCCCTCACCGACACAATGAGAAGACAGGATTGGGAACAAAAGGATTCTTTATTTTCAGAACTCTGGGCATTAACTAAAATCTTCCAGCAAGAAAAGCAGGAGAGCTGGAGAAACCGTGAATTTTAGGGTGCTTTGATTTCCTCCATGAAAACTACTATCTTCAAAACAACAACAACAACAACAACAAAAATAGTGTCTGGCTGATGCTAGAGTTGGAGGCGGAACAGGTTGGCCCTCTTGCAGAGTCCCTCTCCCAAAGCACTGGCATTATCTGAAAAAAATTTTTTTGTCAGTTTGCAAAAGTCCTCGATTGCAAAGCTGTGACAGGCAGATGCATACATGTTAGAATATCTGTGTTAACTGATGGCCAAGCTACCAGAACAGAGGCTTCATGCTCAAGAGTCACAACATTAGCTCAAACACAGCAACAGGAAGAAACCTCAAGGAGAACCAGACTTCCTGAGTTGTATATATAGTTAAAATCTACCTAGTTTGTGTATGTATGCTCCATGGTGTTTACAACAGTGACAAAATTGCCTAATGATGCATTGCCCAGAATTATTCATGATGCTAAGCCACACAACTGCACCGACTCCTCTGATCCCACATCAGCCTCCAGGTGGCCCAAAGGTTCATCATCATTTCACGCCACAGATGAGGAAAATGAAGCTCAGAGAGCGTGAATAGCTCGAGTGAGGTTATGTGATTAGTTATCAGGAATTTGTCCCTAATCCTTTGCCTGCTGCATCTGCTCTCTCAGTTACTACATCACATAGGTTTTCACTCCACAGATGGTTTTCACTTGACAAGGAAGAACACCGAAGGCCAGCATGGCCTTCCCTGGATTAACCACCTAAACAAGGAGAGGTTCAACTCTCAGGTCTTAAACCCCGACGCCCTTGCTCTCCAGAACTTCCCATAATTTCCAATGCACAATGCCCCTAAAACTGATGACTCCAGAGGCCATGAGGAGACCCCACATGTGACACGACGTGGTCAGACCAAGAGCTGATACAAGGAGGGAGACCACGCATCATCCAGCAAGCCCCAGAAGAACCATCCCCCCGCCCTTGTCTCTTTCAGGTTCTGCCTCTCCAGGGCAACCCCAGCATCCCATTCTCTGCATGTGCATTCTCTGCTCGGTGAAGGGATTGCGGGTGTTAGCAGAGCATGACTTCGCTGAGCCCAGGAATCTCCAGGGCTCCTGCCTCTGCCCATGTGAACCCATGCTGAGGCCCCCGCCCCTACCTTTGTGAGCTCCTGCTGGAGATGGGAGCTTTAACTAGACTCCCCCAGTTCATCTCAGGCCTTCTTCTGTGATGGTTGGGAGAACACGCCTCTTAGAGGCTTGCTGAAGGCAGTGTGAGCGTTGTATGTGAGTCTTTATAGTTCCTGGGGGCTTACACACATCAAGCCATTTTCAACATATTACCTCTGAGCTACCGGTACTTGCTACCCTGGGGAATCTTCTCAGTGATTACTCAGAGCTATCCCCTGTCACCTCAGCTTCACCTTGAAGTTTCATGCGCCTGCTATTCTGGTTGCTTAGAAATTGCCACCCTGGATTCTACCCTGAACCCCACTGTGGCGTTAACCAGTTACGCCCTGCCCCTGTTCCCAGGCGAGCCTGAGATGAGCTCATTGTTTTTGTTTGGTTTCATTTCGAAGATAGGATTTCATTAAGTAACCTTGGCTGGCCTGAAGCTCACTTTGTAGACCAGGCTGGCCTTGAACTCACAGAGATCCTCCTGACTCTGCCTCCCAAGTGCTGGGTACACACCACCACACCTGGCTGTGTGTATTTTTGTGGTTGTTGTTTTGTTTTTTGAGACAGAGATTTGTAGACCAGGCTGGCCTTGAACTCACAGCAATCTGCCTGCCTCTGCCTCCCTGAGTGCTGGGATTAAAGACATGTGCCACTTTGTCAGTCTTGTGTGTATTAAGGAATAGCCTAGTTCACATTTTTATAGCATGGAATCTTGTAGAAATAGAAATCTTAGAATCACAAGCCAGTTTCGGAGACAAAAGGGATGGCAGTAACCTCTGAGACCCTAATTGTGGTTCTGGATCCTCTGGGATACAGGGCACTAGGATCTCGGCTTACTGGCCTAAAACACTGTCTGTTAGTACGGTGAGGGGACAGAGGCCACCAAGGCAGAGTTTGAGCCCCCAAATCTATGCAACGGTGCGAGACCTCATGTTGGAGACAAGACACGACGCTGGAGAGGCAGAAGCAAGAGGGTTCAAACTCTGTAGCATGCATAAGACCACACTAACCCTCACCTCTCCAACCTTACCTGTGACTAAATGGCCCCCTTAGGACCTGCTTCAGATGGTGTGTGTGTGTGTGTGTGTGTGTGTGTGTGTGTGTGTGTGTGTGTGTGTACTCACTTACACATGTATGTGCAGATTGACGTGAAAAACAAAGGTCTACACGAGATGTCACCGTTATTCTCCACCTTATGGTTTGAGGCCATCTCCTACTGAGCCTGGAGACTTGGGCTAATGTTTCATTGGTTAGGCTCGCTGTTAGTCCTAATATCCCCGGTGGAGTTAGACGGGCTGGCCAGCAGCCCTAAGAATCCACTTGTCTTTGGCCCCCCAGCCTGGAATCGGAAGTTCCTGCTGCCACACCTACTGCTGCCCCACCCCCATAGGTTCTGAGGATCAAACTCAAGTGCTCACAGTTGCACAGCAAAGCGAGTTGCTGACGAGGCCATCTCTTCCGGACTCTCTTTAATGCTCAGTTTCCCAAATACTACCATCCATCAAAGGAGGAAATAGGACCCTGTACCCTCTTCTAAAGGTGCTGGCTTGATTGCTCTGAAGTGACTACTCCTTCTTCAGGGCCATGGGGAACTGTGAAAGGTCCCTCAGGCAGCCACAAGGGCCAGGAGCAAATGGATTTCTCATGGGTTAAAAGTCAGGAACATGGGCCTTCTTCATTCTCTGTCCTCCAGTCCAAAATTGAGCATATTGGAGAAAAACTGAGGTTTCCAGCAGTGCTAACATCTCCCACCCCATCACCCACATTTGAGGAGGAGACAGTGCATGCACTACCCAAGGAAAAGAGCCCCAGTGCCATCAGCCTGGACCCCCATAGGCATGCAGCCCATGCCGGTGCACTTGTGTCTGCCCTGATATCCAAAATGTCTGCCCGCACACTGTTGTCCGCCCCCGGTGGAGCCTGGCATTTATCTGGTGGCAGCTGACTCCATGATGTGCAAGAGCCGCCTCTGCAACCCACAAGGGTCACCCAACCGTCTGTGGCCGTGAGGCCCCCGAGGCCGCCTGTACCTCAAAGCTCTCACTCTGAAGGCTCTTAACTCACAGGCAGTGAGTAGCTGGGAAAGCAGCTGACCAGGAAATACACTTGAATCCGGTCCATTCTTCTTGGAGGGTTTTCAGTGGCAACTGAAATCGGCCCTTAAAGAACGAAACAGAAATGTTCTTTTGTCTGGAGGGAGACCCGGAGAGACATGTCACAGAGCGTGAGCCGTTTTGAGGCAGTGATTCAAGAGAATCTGCAGCAACCGTTCTCATAAATATAAGAGGGTTGCATTATGCTTTAAAATAGCCGTGGATGCTGAGAGAAAAGAGCAGTGTTGAGGCTGACATCACAACCGGTCGCCAGACACCCCAGGTAACTTGGCTCAAAAGAAAAGCGATTTAAATATAGAAGCTTGGGGAAAGGCAGCTGGCTTCTGGGAACAGTCACTGCTACTAGGCCAAACCCCATCTCCAGGCATCCTGGTCCTCGACCTCCTCGGGAGAAGCAGCAATTGAACTTTGGAGGTGTGGGAAGGGACAGAATTAATCCTCAGTAAGATGCTGTGGCCAGATAGAAGGAAACCTTCGTCCTGTTTCAAGCCACGATGGTGGCAGCCTTGGGGCACATATCTAAGAGAAACTGGGCACTTTTTGGAGTGAGCAGTCAACTGTAGCCTCAGAGTAAAGCCATGAATCCACACTCAGTGCCACTGAAACTGAATGCAGAGATGTCTCTTGTACTAAGGGAGACAGAAACACGGGAATGACACCGAGACAGGGCCTTACATAATTAAAAAGCAACGTAATTTATTTTTCTTAAAAAGCAGAAAATAGGGCAGAGGGTGTGACACAGTGGGGAGAGCTTGCACAAAGCCCTAGGCTCCATCCCCAGTGCCATCTAAACCAGAAGTGGTGGCAAGTACTTTTATTCCCAGCACTTAGGTGGTAGAGGTAGGTAGATCAGAGTTTTAGGATTATTGTTGGCTATATTTAGATATGCAGTGAATTCAAGGCCAGCTTGGGCTATATGGCATCCTGTCTCAAAAAAAAAAAAAAAAAAAAAAGTGTGTTGGGGGGGTAATATAAAATGACCCATTCGTGTACTTTTGTTGCTGCTTTTTGTTTTTCAAACAGGGTTTCTCTGTGTAGCCTTGGCTGTCCCGGACTCTCTTTGTAGACCAGGCTGGCCTCAAACTCACAGAGATCTGCCTGCCTCTGCCTCTCTGAATGCTGGGATTACAGGCATCCACCACCACACCTGGCTTCTTGTACTTTTTAACTTGGATTGCAACTATACTTTGATGTCATATCTAGTTGTGAAAGCAACTAAAGGCCGGGAGGGGGTGGCACATACCTTTAATCCCAGCATTCAGGAGGCAGAGGCAGCCAGAGCTGTACCAATAAAACCTTATCTCAAAAAAAAAAAAAAAAAAAAACACAAACAAACAAAAAAAAAAAAAAAAAACAAGAGAGACGGGAAGAGAGAAAGACAGAGCTGGAAGTAGAGTTATGTATAAGATCGTCATGGCTGTATTTACTCTCAGCCCATCTTCTATTGCCCCATCCTGTCTACAGACCATCCACGGTTGTCATGACAATGCTCAGTGGCCAAGAGGCTTGCCAGAGAAGGTTTTGTCTAGAGTCCACATGATTCAGGGTATAAAGAAGTGACATGCAAAAGAGCCCGTTTTAGGGCAAAGCTGGGTTGCCAACCTGGATGAGCATCAGAAAAATGTTCTGTGTGTGTGTGTGTGTGTGTGTGTGTGTGTGTGTGTGTGTGTGTTTCACACGCACCTGTATGTATGTGTCTATGGAGGCCAGAAGTGGACCTACGGCATCTTCCTCAATTGCTCTCCACCTTGTTCTTTGAGGCAGGGTCTCTTACTGAACTGGAGCTCACCGATTGGCTGGCAGCTATTCCCTGCCGGTCAGTGAGTTATAGGGATCCACCCCACCCCCCAGTGCTGGCACTATAGACATACATGGGGATGCTGTGTGACAAGCACCTTAACAGCTGAGCCATCTACGGAGCCCCTGGAAATCCTTTTTAAAATGCTGCTCCCCAGGTCGCAGTGTGAATGGAGGATAGGGATCTGGTTCGGGTTTGAACGAGGTCTCTCGGACTCGTCACTATTAATATTTTGCCCCCGGGTAACTCCATGCTGTGGCAGGCTGTCTTGTGAGCTGAGGGGGTTTTAAGAACAATCCCTAACCTCTAGGCATTGCCCAGGGCCCTGGGGGAGGGATCCATGTGCTGACCTCACTGCTTATTTACTAAGCCCCCTCCCTCGGGAACAATATGAGCTCGGGTCTCAGTTACCCCAACTGCCTAATAGCCTCAGGGTTTGCATGCTGCCTGCCCTGAGAATCCATCATCCTTTATTCCCTGATGCTGTCCCTTTGCTGTCCTTTATCTGCTGAAATGGCATACTCATGGTCAGGGAAATGTTTGGCCCAGATTCAGAATGCGGGGGAAGATAGACAGGCAGCCAGAGGGTCCCTCCATGTCCTGCAGCAAGACCCCTGCCCTTTCCACCAGCTCACAGACTGTCTCCTCCTCCTCCTCAGAAAAGAACTGCTCCTACTTCAGGCATTTCAACCCAGGAGAGAGCTCGGAGATCTTTGAATTCACCACTCAGAAGGGTGAGTGGGAAGCGACAAGTCTGTCACAGGCTGACTCCTGCTCGGGATGAAAAGCAGCTGTGGGCTGGTGCCCAGTCACACCTCTACACACACACAGAGCCGGTCCCCCACCCAGGACTTGGAGCACATTAGATGGTGTCAGGGCGGTGGGTAAAGCAGACAGGCTGTATGCCACAGCAGGAACAGAGCCCGGCATTGCCCAGAGAGCTTTGGAAGAGGCGCGGCTGCTCACAGTGCCGGAGGAAGGGATGGGCGGGTGACAGTCTCAGCGGGGGACACCGGGAGTCCTGCCCACACTTAACTAATAGCTCCCTGCGCTGAGGAAACATGGGCTTGTTGCCCTTCATCCATAGAAGCCAGAGACCTCGTGAGCAGCTAGAGCCTGGCCTGTGTGGGAGCGGGCAGCCACACAGTGTATATAAAAACTCCTGCTCGTGCTAGCAGACCCTCGCATGTAGGCACATGCACGCAGCAGCTGAGCCTCATGCCTGGGGCACACATACACACTGAGAGCCTGAATGCAGGGAACACTCACACACGCACACAGAGACAGATATCTCATATATGAGGTACCTATAAGTGCTCGAATACAAAAAAAGCACACATGTATAATGACAGATTCTGTGTCCCATTCACACATAGTCTCACATGCAGACACAGGAGGCACATACTCTGATGGGTGCTAACGAAGCCCACACACATCCTCACGCTCACGTGCTAGGGAACACCCACACTCTGTCAGTCTCCCAGAGTCCCCTTGTCAATCCAAGACAGACCACCCACAGCTCCGTGCCTCCTTCTGCCTGTCACTCAAGAAGGCTTTGGCTCCAGGGACTTCTCTAGCCACAGGGCGGCCTCCTTCCGAGGCCTTCACCTCAGGGAACCTCAAAGCTTAGTGCCCTGGAAAGACACGCGTGAGTCCAACCGTCAGCCTCTGGCCTCGCTCTTCCCCAGCACCAGACTTGGAGTGAGTAAGCAAGTGAGTGAGCCTCAGTCAGGTGTGAAATGGCAATCCAAGCTGCGAAGCTTCAGGGGAGACCCGGCGGCAGGAAGTGCCCAGAGAGGCTCTGGTTCTGAGGCTCGCCCTGTTTTGCAGAGTACAGCATCTCGGCGGCGGCCATTGCCATCTTCAGCCTCGGCTTCCTCATCGTGGGTTCCATCTGCGCATTTCTCTCCTTCGGGAATAAGCGTGATTACCTGCTGAGGCCAGCATCCATGTTCTATGCCTTTGCAGGTAGAGTGGGGTCCTGGGTGGAAGGGAGACTCCCTGGGGCTCCCCACTCCGTGCTCAGGCTCCACACACGAACAAACTCAGTCACCACCCCCATGACCCCAAGAGGGCTAGGAGGGAGAAAGTTTGCTTTGTCTCCCCCTTTCCCCCCAGTGACACCACCCTTGGAAGGGACAATGATGAACCACCCCAGAGGGCAATAAAAAAAAAAAAAAAAGGAAGCAAATGTGGCCAGTCTCTAGCTAACCTCCTGCGGGAGGTGGGAACTACAGGGTGGGCGTGCACCATTTTTACAGATTCCCAGTTAGAACCCTTTAAAAGCAGTTTCCTCTCAGGGCCAGGCAAGAGACAGAGATTGGGGGAGGGCGGGAGTGGCAGCAGGAGAACCACCATTCACTGGGACTCCTGGCTTGGTCCCCAGGGCTCTGCCTTATTGTCTCTGTGGAGGTCATGAGGCAATCGGTGAAGCGCATGATTGACAGCGAGGACACCGTCTGGATCGAGTACTACTATTCGTGGTCTTTCGCCTGTGCCTGTGCCGCGTTCACCCTGCTCTTCCTCGGAGGGCTCTTCCTCCTGCTCTTCTCCCTGCCCCGGATGCCCCAGAACCCCTGGGAGTCCTGCATGGATGCTGAGCCAGAACACTAGTTTTTGGGAAGGTTAAGCCCAGACCAGAGTCTTTTGGAGGCGAGGATGGAGTTTCCCATCTGCCCTGATCCCTTGTCCATCACTCGTGTCTCTCCCTCTGAGTTCCTCTACAAACAGTGCACGTGGACACGAACCCAGACCTGCCCAGGGTCAGAAGAAGCAGGCCAGCAGGCATTTGAAGGAGCCAGCTCCCATGCACCTCCCCCAGCTCAGGCTTGCCTACCAGGACTGTCGTCCATGAAGATCTAGTCTGGTCTTTAGGAAGCTCCGAGGGGACAGCCTGTACTCATTCACCAGTTCTGAACATTGGGGATGTCCAGAGCCAGCTCCTCCCCCGCTTTCCTCCACCATGATAGGAAACCCTCTTCCGTAACCTGAACATCCCTCCTTGGCTTCCAGGATCCCCAAGAGACATTTTTAACTGGATAGGATCTGTGGTTGAAATAAAAGGTCTCAGAAACTTCCCCTTTTCTCTTGTGCCTTGCATAGCGATTGCTGATATTCCTGGCGATAGGCCCAGCACCCTAGACCCTGGAGAAGAAAAGGAAGGTATGTCCCTCTAGGGTAGTAGTTCTCAACCTGTGTTGTGGAGACCCCTTTGGGGGGTCGAGCGACCCTTACACAGGGGTCGCATGTCATATATCCGACATATCAAATATTTACATCACTATCGCAACAGTAGCAGAACTGCAGTTATGAAGTAGCAATGAAAACCATGCTATGGAAGTGGGTCACCACAACATGAGGAACTGTATTAAAGGGTCACAGCATTAGGGAGGTTGAGGTCCACTGCCTGGGCACTGAGGTGGAGTTCGCTCAGAGGTTCTGAATTCCAACTTGAATGTCTGAGCCCTGGAATTGTTTGGAATGAAACTAGAAACCTTGTGACTTGGGCGAGGGTGTTAAAAATAGGAGGGGTTATTTCTAGAATCATCCAGCCCCTCTCAGCACTGAAGTGCCACAGTAGAAGAAGAAGGAGAAGAAAAAGAAGAGGAAGAGGAGGAGGAAGAGGAAGAGGAAGGGCTTCACAGCACACATTTTAAACACTGCTGCCTCCTCAAACCTGTACAAAATGTAGCCTCCAGAAACAGAAGTCAGACTTGACTGGCAGACAGGGAGGACCCTTTTTGGTCCTTGCAGTAAACACTGGACTTGCAAATGGAACTTATTCTAGCATGGCTGGGGAGGGAAACACTTCCGCCTGTGGAAAAGACCTGGCCCACCAATTTTTGGGTAGCCTTCAAGATAGGAGTGGGTTTTTGTTGTTGGTGGTGGTGGTGGTTTTGTTTTGTTTTGTTTTTTGTTTTACAGCTTGAAAGACATTAAAATAACTCACCATGAATATCAAGACTATCTCATAATGTGAAAATTATATGGAAGTCAAGCTTCGGCGTCTATAAATAAAGTTTTATTGGCACATAGCCACAGCTGTTCCAATGGGTGGTCGGTGTGGCTGCTTCCCCACAACAGCATTGAGCAGCCTCATGAGAAATGTTTTCCCCTGCAAAGCAAAATATTTACTTTCATATTGGACGTGGTAGCACATACCAGCAATCCCAGTACTCAGGAGGCTGAGGCAGGAGGATCATTCTGTACCTATTCCCTTGACACAGGCTGAATTAGTTGCTTTTTGTTGCTGTAACAAGATGCCATGACCACAGAGGCTTATAGAAGAGTTGACTAGGGCTTATGGTTCTGGAGAAAGAGTCTATGAGGGGAGGGGGGTCATGGCAGCAGTCAGGAGTGGCAGTGGGAGCAGGAAGCTGAGTGGCCACATTTTCAACCACAACTGCAAATCAGAGAGAGCAAACAGGAAGCAGGGCAAGGCTCTACCCCCTCAGCGCCCACCCCAGGGACATACTCTCTTTGCAAGGCAACACCGCTTAAAGGCTCAACAACCTCCCCATACAGTGTCCCCAACCGGAGACCGAGTGTGCAAACACATGAGCCTGTGGGTGACAGTTCTCCTTTGAACATGGGGGCGTTCAGTGACCCCAGCACTGAGCTGACGGCCAGCAAACCTCGGAGGGCCCTCTCTGCCCACACTCAACAGCACTGGGGTTAGAGGCGCATGTGGCGATGCCAGCTCGGCTTTGATGATGGGATCTGGATGCTTGTTTGGCAAGTGCTCCTACTCACTGAGCTGCCCCCACCCCCCAGACACCTGAGGTTTTCGATCTCCGGTCCTTCTTGGGAAAACATTCGCCGACCCCTGTGTTCCCTTTCTGTCACCGTGACAAAAATGCCTGAGATAACCTAAAAAGAGGAAGGACCAATTTTGAGCTTCGTCTCGAAGGCCTCAGTCTACTTGTAGACAGGTTAGAATCCTGTCCTTTGAGTAGGTAGGGTCAGGGACTTTGTTTAACATGAGAAGTTATAGAAAATGGAGTTTTAGCCTTCTGCAACCTTTAAAGTCGAGGATCAGAGGCTCAGGGAGAATTGAGGTAGGCTAGAAAGATGGAAAGTTATGGGGACACAAAGGGAAAGGACTCGTAGGTTAAAGGCCGCAGATGCCCTGCTCTAGGAGGGCAGGCAAAAAGCCTTTCTTCCCATTGGAGAACAGTGTGCTATAACATGTTCTGAATCAATCAGTCAATCTCACTCTCTGCCTCTCCCTCACTCACTGTTTCTTGGCTTTCGGTAAGACAGAACACTGTGGTAGAGGACTTATGTTGAAGCAAAGCTGCTCGCCTCACAGCAGACAGAAAACAAAGAGAGGAAGGGAGTAGGGACAAGACACGACCTTTGATGATGCCCCCCAACAGCCTGCCTTGGCTCTACCTCATGAAGTGTCTTCCCTTCCCAACAGCTCTGCATATGGATATAGATGGACTGATCTGTTGTGGAAGGTCAGAGCCCTCAGGACCTGGTCATCTCCTGAAGCCTCACTGCTGAACACTGCTACTCTGTGGACCAGGCTGTAGCCATATGAGCTCTCGGGAACACACGTTATATTCAAATCATAGCATTCCTCCCTGGCCCCCAAAGGTTTATATATCCTTATCACACAAAGTACATTTAGTCCATCTCTGAAGGTTTCTTGCTCCAGGGTGACAATCATTCCTCAGAGGGGTCATTAACCCCCCACATACTTTTCTCGTCTGTAAATGATGCAGAAGAGGTAAGGGATATTTGCTCATTCATTCACTACCCCTAAGCTTAGAGCACTCTAGAAGGAAGGCATTTGGCCACTCTATAGTAGCCATTTAGGGTTTATAGGGATTCTTCTTTGACAGCTCAGGAGCTGATCAGTGGCTTGGCTGGACCCCTTGGCTTAGCTGAGGGGTCCAGGATTGACAACACAATCCATCCTGCTTTGGGGTTAAGAACTGAGTAGAAAGTCTGTCCCTTAGTTACGACATCTAAAGAGACCAAAGAGAGGTTCTGGGGAGGTAGCTCAGTGGATAAAGTAATTGCCGAGTGAGCATGAGGACCTGAGTTTGAGCCCCACGTAAAAAAGAGCATGTCTACAAGCTCTGGGTAGGCAGAGATGGGTCCATCATAGGGGCTTGCTGGCCAGTCAGTCTGGCCAAATCCAGCTCCAGATACAGAGTGAAAGACCCTGTCTCCAAGAAATAAGATGGAACGTGAGAGAAAGACTCCTGACAGCCACCTCTGGCTTCCACTCATGAAGGCATGACATGGTGGGGGAGGGGACAGATCAAAGGGAACGGTGACTATGATGCATGAATTGCAGTCACATGACACCCATGTAGAAATGTGGGAGAGATGGTGCAGCTCCCGCTGTCTGGTCCACTCAGGCAACAGCAGGAGACCATCCCAAAGATGCTATCATTGAGTCTGAGAGAAAATCTGCTCCAAGTGAGAGAGAATAAGGAAGTGAAAACCCTAAGGCTCTCACCAGGACCAGACCTCCCTGCATCCGTAAATAGGACCTTTTGCACCACCTACTCCATCTTACTCGATACCCAGACTTCTCACATCCTCCTCCAAGGTCTGTCCTGGTGAGGGTAGTTCTCACCCCTTATCAAGGAAACGTCTGTTTGCAACAGATGGATGTTGTTTTTAAACAAAATCCCAAACGTTCGATTTTACCAATAAAGACTCAGGGGCTGGATTCAGGGTTGAAAACCTGCAAGCTCAGAGAGGCAGAGAGAGCACCTAGCTGACCTTCCTTCTCAGCCAATATTCCAGAAAGGAAAAGCCCCTTCTCTTTCTCCACACTACCTTAAAAACCCTTCAAACCAAATGTCCCTCCTTTCTACTTCCTGTGTGTCTCTCTGTTGGTCCTCCAGACTCCTTTCACTCTCTATGGTTTTTTTTTTTTCCTATGTTCATTCCCTGTCAAATGGTTGCTTGCTCTGCCTCTTGACCTGTGGTTGAATTTATTTAATCCTGTTTACAGAGAGCTCTTGAATTAAAGGTGTGTGATAGGGCTGAGCCACATCACAGCTAGAAACAGGTTTTTCCAGTTCACAATCTCAGGGTTCACAGTGTGATCAAATATCCCGAAACAGATGTAGAGCACTACGGAAAACCACCGCAACTGCCCAATGTTCAGAATGGTGGAGTCCAGTCCCAGTGGCTACGTCTACAAAATACTGCCATCCCTAAGACTCAAGGAACATTGCAGAAGAGGGGGGAGGAAAGATCCTGACAGCCAGAAGATCAAGAAATTTTGCTTCGAGATTGAGTCTCCAAGTAACATCGGAAGCTACATCTGTAAAGTCTCACCAACGTGACCCTCCAAATGTGAGCTGAACATGGAGGACAGCAGTGAACATGCCAAACTTCATGAGGGAAAGCCCACGAGGCCTCAACCCTACGCAAAGAACTACAGGCAACTGAGTAAAGCTTGGAGCGAAAGCCATAGCCAGTCCCAGGGAAGAATGCACAATTGCTCGTCCAATGCCAAACTGTCAGCCTTGGAAGCATACATTCAAGTAGCATCCTATGGACTCAGAAGGTTATATTTGGGAGTATATATGCATACACAAATATACATATGCAGGCAGTAACAATTAATGAAAAAAACAGGC